GAGTCCTAAAGAACAATAACAACTCGCGCTAAAACACAAAGGCTCATGGGTAACTGTCTGGTACATACACAGGTGATGACTCTCAATTGATGTGATGTGTCATTGTACTTGTTGACATGTTTTGAAAACCACCTTACAGAGAACTGCACAAAGGCATAACAAATCACTATCATTGGTATGATTTTCATCTGCAGTCCATAATTTTTAACATTAGTAAATTGAAAGGAATTTTAAAAATTCTGTTACAAAATTCTGGGCTTATAATAAATTAATTGTCACCTTATTAATTAGCTAAGGTCTGTCTAATAGAAATTCTATGAGAGTAATGCTCAGTGACAAATTCCTTGACGACTTTTTGTGCTAGAGGAACAATAAATTAATAACTGAATTTATTAATCAGCCTGGGTCCATATATAAAAACTCTGTGACCAGTCATAAATTACTGGGTAATAGACTTAAGATTAAATAAATTACTAACCTTATTAATAGCCAGGGTCTATACATAGAGACTCTATGATATAAAGTAACTGCCAGTCATAAATTCCATGACAACTCTGGGTATTAGACTTAAGGGTAAAAAATTACTAACCTTATTAATAGCCAGGGTCTATATATAGAGACTCTATGATATAAAGTAACTACCAGCCATAAATTACTTGATAACTTTGGGTATTATTAACAGTAAATAAATTACTAACCTTATTAATAAGCCAGAGCCCATATATAGAAACTCAACGATATAAAGTAACACCGAGCCAACAATTCTTTGACAACTTTAGGTGTTTGACTAACAATAAACAAATTAATAACCTTATTAATCAGTGAGGATCCATCTATGGATACTTTATGATATAAAGTAATGACCAATGATAAATTACTTGACAATTCTGGGCGTTCAGCTAACAATAAATAAATTACAAACCTTATTAATCAGCCAAGACCCATATATAACAATCCGACCAAACACAAATTATGTGTTGGGCATCTGACTAATGATAAATAAATTACTTAACTTATTACTTAGCAAGAGACTTGATGATAAATTAATGAAAAGCCACACATTCCTTTAAAATTCGGGCATTATACTGACAATAAAAAAAATTACTATCATTTTTATTCAGCCATGGTTTATTTATAAACAATTTCTGCGATAATTTCTGCTACGTTTGCCTAACAATAAATAAATTACTAACCTTATTAGCTAGTCAGGTTCCATTTATAGACACTCTATAACAGCAGCATGTCATAAACCCCCGAAAATGTACCACAAGTATATGATAGGTTATGATGTGCAAAAAAGATTTATCAAATAATATACTGTAAAATACTTTATTTTAGCTGGAAATAATTTTCGCTGAAAAGACTTTTTGGGTGTTTTGTATGGAATTAATTTTCACTGATTTCTGATTAGTTGAATTTCGTTGGATGTTATTATCACCAAATCATTCCTTCAGCGAAAATATCAAAAATTAATTCCGAGCAAAAATAAAGTATTTTACAGTAGTATACCAACATTTTAATTGTCTGAATATGTCATTCTGATTGGTCGAGAGCATGTTTTTTATTACACAAGCCATGGACAATATACCATGTTTTTTTTTGTGTTTTGAAGTAGGCCCTAAACATGAATAACATACAGAAGAGGTACCACACCTCCCCATATACAAAATGTCTCTTTCTCGTAAAATTATCACATATCATGAATTACCTTAAATTACTCTTAATGTTAAGATTGTCCCTTGAGTAATTTTCACCACTGTCATGACTCTTACCTGATAATCTAATAATATCTGTTGTAAGGATACTCTGAGGTACATTCAATAGCTTGACACCAACTTATTGTCTTATTGTCTAAGACTGTAATTTCTGTCATGTTCTGAGGGGAAAATATGGGATAGGCCAAAATTATGAAATACTTATTGAAATTATTTATTTTTATTTATTTTTTTATATTCTTTTAAAAGTATGGTAATATTCTTACAATTTTATTAGTTTAAAAATAAAAAATGTTCAAATATTTTAAACGGGACGAATGCGAGATTGCTGTTTTAAGGGGGTTGGGGTCTATACAACATTACACATTGCATTGTGGGAAATATATGTATGAGTATTTATTATAGGTGTGCATTGATGATCCCTTCTAAACTCACTCTGAAGACATACATATGTAATTATACAAAGCTGACAACCCTAAAATTAACGTGTACATTAGAATCATGTGTTATGCTTTCCATTGAAAGTGAATTATGAATGTAGAATGGTAATAGACAAACAAATAAAATTCTTATCAAATTATGCTTTGCATGATCACTCATGAGAATAGAATAGAATAGAATAGAATAGAATAGAATAGAATAGAATAGAATAGAATAGAATAGAATAGAATTTACTTTTTTTTTATTTGTAATATCATAATATTCCAGGCACAATATAACCTGTATATTGTACCCACAATTTAAAACAACTTGATTCAATTTTTTACACACTAATGTGGTAGTTCCTGTTGAGTAAAACGATGTTGCGTACTATGAAATAGTTATCTTCACTTGAATTTTTTTTTTTCTAAAAGGATTACTCAGAAGAAATAGAATCTGTGAAGAATTCTTTTTTCATATTGGTTTGCACATGAACAAGAGAAAAGTGATTGTTTTTTGTTTTCTATTGTGGTAAAAAACATATGCTAACATAAATGCATCTATGGTCAAAACAAGTCATATTTTAAGAGTGTAATACTGTAAAATGACTAATTTTCACTGGGTTTAAATTTCGCTGATTTACTATTTCAGGCATATTCAGTGGGTTTTAAATTCACGGTTTTATCATTTAGATAATGTGTTCTGTGCTAAATTTTACATATTCACTGGGTTTTTATTTAGCGCATTTTCCAGTCAGCGAAATAAGCAAAATTAAAACTCAGTGAATAATTAATCCTTTTACACTATATACCGGTAATACTATAAAACACTTTATTTTAGCTGGGGTGTTTTTCATGGAATTTATTTTCACTGATTTTTGATGAGTTGAATGTCAAATATAGGAACAACGGTATATTTGCTGGATTTTATTTTCACTGAATCAGCCCTTCAGCGAAAATAGCAAAAATAAATTCCAAGCGGAAATAGTATTTTACAGTACAACGAATTTTATTTTTATTTGCACTTCTATTGGGGATTTGCTTAATTCTAAATACATTTACTAACTTTGTTAAGTGTCCAAATAGCAATTTTATTAGTATCGGTAGTACTCAAATGTTATTAATGAGGAACAGATATTTTTTCATGGACACTGTAGTTTGAAATATGCACAAAATGTGCTTTTTTGGTCAAAAGTGATTTAAAAAAAAGTAGCTTCTAAACCATGCTTCTGTTTCCTGTCAAAATTGGTTTATGGGTACATCTGTTTACTATGAAGAAAGTGCTGTCTTTAAAACTGTCTACCAGCTGTCAATTTTGCAGGGCAGCAGCTCAAATTTCACTACTTCAAGTTTATGTATAAATTAACACCCAGGCTAGTTGTCTGTAGATTGTTGTAACACTGTTCAACCAACTTGAAAAACAATTCCCCCGACAGCAGCGTTTTGATGATAAACACATTGTCAATTAAAATGATACAATGCAACAGAGGGGATGTGGCTTCTATTAGAACATCTATACATATGAGAAATGATGAATTTTTAGATCTCAATTTTTCAAAACTAAAGGGTACGACTTCTATTAGAGATGCGGCTTCTAATACAGATTTTACAGTACAGTCCTCACCAAAACAAATTTTAATTGTAATTGCTTAAACCCAGCTAGTTTACAAATGTGACTTTCTGATACAAGGAACAATGTTCTGTAGTTCCCTCAAGGATTTGACTATACACATACAAGTGATGGCATGACTGACACACCTGTGAGATCATTGCAGACAAAGGCCGGCTAGAGTTTACGTGAATAATGAATCAACTCACTCAGTACTGTACATATGAATGTCTTAT